GTGTGATGGCACACAACTTTAGTCCCAGCATTTGGGAGGCAGAGGCAGCACATCTTAAGTCATCCTAAATAGGGAGCTCTAGGACAGCCAGGACTACTTAGAGACACCCTGTCTCAAAACAGAAACAAAAACTTATGATTAAGTAAAGAAATATGGGGGGGGGGGGCTGGAGAGATGGCTCAGTGGTTAAGAACACTGACTGTTCTTCCAAAGGACACAGGTTTAATTTCCAAAATCCACATGAATCTCACACTGTTTGTAACTTGGGTCCAAGGGATTCTACACCCTACACAGACATACATGCAGATAAAACACCAATGCACATAAAATAAAAATAAATCATTTTTTAAAGTAAAGAGACATAATGTTGCCAAACACTTTCTGAATTCTTCATGTTCTCAAGTATTAACCCATTTCAAGTCTGTGCGTGTGTGTGCACGAATGAGCACCTCCTGCCAACATAGTTTCCAGTGAAGAAAGGTCAGGTCAACTTGGCCAATGTGGAAAACAAGGTCTGGTACCTTTAAGAAGGACTGCTCCTTTCTCCTAGGGTTGTCTACAGCCCACATCCTAGGAGACTGCAACACTGGTACAACAGAGAAGCAGTTAAAGCAAGTGTAGTGGGAGAAGCTTTTCTATAGGCCTAAGATAATAACTGAGCTTTTGAGTTGATGGAAGCTAGAGTCTGCTAAAAGGTTTTCATCTATTAGTCACAAGACGTTAGTTACCAAACAGAAGTGGACAGAGAATGGCTGTTCCAGAGAACTAGATAAAACATTTCTAGACCTACAACATTCCAGTTTCTTCCTAATACTGCAGTTCTAATCAGTCAGTCAGTCTCTGTAGACACAGCTTCTTTCCAGGAGTTCTCATTTACAGGTGCTACTTGTCTTGGCCATTGCAGCAGTGAGCAGCACAGGAGCCGGGAAAGAGGGTAACAGTAGGCAGGGACACAGGACTCTGGGTTCACCTCAGGAATTAATAATTTTTATTTTTCTCATCCCTGGGAAGGGTGCTGTCAAAGCTTTTCTAGCTTGTACAATCTTCTGCTAGCCTCTTAAAGCCATGAAGTATGAAGGAGCTCAGTCAGCCTAAGGACCTTAATGGGAAGGCCACATGAGGCTGCAGAAGAAAATTGGAGATGGTCACACAGTGTCTACCTTGGCCTCGTATCCTCTGAGGTTGGGACAGGGGCCCAAGAATGTTGGCTAGAAGGAGGTGAGGTATGAATGGGGCCATGCTGAAGTTTGCATCTGTTCAGACACTATGGTAGAAAGAATGCCAGTGTTCCTTCCTCCTTGCCTCTAGAAGCAGCTGTAGACAGCTGTGGAACACTGGGCTAAAGGAGGGCCGAGAAATGAGTGGCTACATGTGCATGTGTAAGCTCTGTAGAACATGTGGACCAGCTGATGTAAAGTTTGTTCCCTAGAATAAGTGCTTCTAATAACGACCAGACTGCAACTTGCTGAAGGCAACATGGCTGAGCACCAGACCCAGGGCTCAGAAAGAACTGAAATATAGCAACAACCAGGTGATCCCGGTGGGTAACAGTTACAGGTTGGCATGATCAGAGTCTCCAAGTCTACGTTGAGAACAAGAAAACCCTAAGCTAAGAGTCCCTAGTCCAACGCCACTGAATTTGGTGGTTCCCATTTCCTTTAACATATTTTGCACAGTGTAGTTCTAGGCTCAGTTCACAGAAGCCATCTGTGTTGGCTACTTTTTTAATTTAATTTAATTTTTTATTATTATTTTTTTTTGTCAAATTGCCTCAAGCTACAGTCATATAGGAAGTATTCGTGTCACAGCTCTGAGGGAAAAGTATCCCAACAGTAGGGAGCCCCTTTACCTTATAGCTCCCATTCAGATTCATTTTCCTGATTAATAGTTGATGTGGAAGAGCCCAGGTCACTGCGTGGTGCTGCTTCTCAACAGTGACATGAGAAAGCAGGCTGAGCAAGTCATTAGGAGCAAGCCAGTAAGCAGCATTCCTCCACAGTCTGTGCTTCTGTTCCTGCCTTGAGTTTCTGCCCTGACTTCCCTTCATAATGCACCATAAGCTGTAAACTGAAATAAACCCTTTCCTCTCCAAGTTGCTTTTGGCCACAGCGTTTGAAATAGAAGCCAAAATAAGACCCCAGTGTTCTCAGCCTCAGACCCAGGCCTATTCCATGGCTCCAGAGCAGCTTCAGCTGTCCTCCCACTCATGCCCTTCCCGAAACAGAGCAGCTTTGAAATCTTTTTCATTCAGTGATACCATTTCTTTCCCAGACACGGATTCTATCTGCCTGCAGCTGTGAGTGGAAGCAGGGGAAACTTGTTCCTTAGAAGTCCCTAAAGGTGGCTTTTCCCAAATAGAACTCAGTGTTACCAATCTTGTCCTTCCTTTTCTCCTCTGGGCACCTAAGACACTTGGGGTCTCTGTCCCACCCCAAGTATGTCCTTGCCTCTCCTCCTGTTTGGCTCTGCTCCATCCCCCGTCTTGCCACGTGGTCACTTCTGGCTCATCTTTGTTTCTGCACACAAGGTTCCCAGAAATGCGTGTGTTTCTCACCTGTGAACTCCACAACCATGTAGGGGCCTCCAGATCACTGCCTTGGTACCTTGAAGCACTGACAATAGTACTTTAGCGGGCTCTACTATGGCTGGAGAAGTCTAGCTAGAGCCCGCTGACATCCTTAAGTTTCTTGGACAAGGTGAACCTGGTTCAGAGTGGTTAGCCAGAGGCAGATGTAGTGTATCTCAGGTGTGGCCAGAGGGGATGGGGCCACCGGGAACCATATAGGAACAAAAAGCCACTAGTGGCCCTCTTGGGGTGGGTTATCAGACGTACCAACATCATTATCGAGATCAATGTTCTGGTTAACTGCATCCATAGACGTGTGAGCCTCACTAATCAGAGGCTGGTCCCCTCTTCCACTCTATGAATCCACTTCCAGACTCACCTTTGCCCGCTCACCTTTTCCCCAAAAGCTAGCTTTCTCTCTGGGTTCTGCCTCCTCCCCAATCCCACCCCAGCAACTAGTCCACCCCAGGCTCCCTTTTGGTCCACTGATCTGCGCCTCACCAGTTAGATCACGATCACCTAGCCTGCCCTTGCCCCTCAATGCTTTATTCGCTAAGGTTGGACTAAGATATCGACCTCCAGAATAATGATTCAGTTGGTGTTGAGCCGCCATCACCACCACAGTACTGTAGGAGCTGGCCACCTGTTCAGATTGAGGCCAGTGTAGGAAGGAATGCATCCTAACGCAGAAGCAGTTATCCAGAAGCTTCGACTGCTCCAATGGGTGGGGTAAGGCAGTACCAGTGTGCAAAGGTGTGCAAGCACCAGGTCCCTTCTGGGACCAGACACAGCTCCTGACCTGAGCAGTACCTACAGCCAGTGACATCTTGGGGGCCTGGGAATTCTCAACCAGATACCAGAAGAATCTGGCTCTCCAGACAGTGGACCCCAGGGTGCAGAAGAGCCTCTCCTTTTGTCTCCTTGAAGGGCCTCTTACTGACTGACCATGACTGGAGTTGTGGAAGTCGTCCAGGGGTCTGCTCCTCAGTCTAGATTCACCTGGGTTCCAGCAATGGAAGGGGCATTTGGAGACCCCAGTGTCCTGGCCTGGTTCCTGGCATCCAGCTGAAATGTGGTTGTTGGATTGTGACAAGTGACTACATGTGAACCTGTACATGCCACAAACCCAGACACTGTATGATCCTGTGTACGACCTTAGCAACCCTGTCTAGGATAGGGGAGAATAAGGAACTGGGAGGACCCTGATAAAATGTCTTAAGGGAGGATGGCAAACTTCTGCTGTTCTGGCAATTCAGGGAGGCCAGGGGCCTGGCCAGACATCCCTGGGTTCCTTTTCTCATCTGTATAGAAAAAGGGTAACAAAGCTGCTTTGGGACAGGAAGGGCAGGGTAGGAGTATAGCTGAAGCTGCTTTGGAGCCATGGAGCAGAGATCTGGGTCTGAAGTTGAGAACATTGGTATCTTATTTTGGCTTCTATTTCTGTGATCAAACACCATGACCAAAAGAATAAGGATAGTCTGAGCCTGACTTGACCTGTACTTTAGCCCAGCTCCCTGTGCCCTGTCAATTTAACCCTGCCCACTTCAGCGGTATCTGGAATCTGGTCCTTGTGATGATTCAGCATTGTCTTGGTCACCATGGATAAGGCTTGTGGAATGGAATGAAGGCATATGTGACATGTTCATGTGACCATGTAGGCATTCTCACATGCCTGGCCCTGCCAGTGACATGGGTGTGGCTCCACATGTATTCATCACTATGTGTGACAGGGTGCAATGTCACTAGCTTATGGGACATAGAAGAATCCTTTCCCCATCACAGGTGGTCTGTGGCTTTGTGGTACCTTCAGTAAAGTTCTTAGTTCTGTGTCTACTGGCACTGAGGCCAGAAGTGTGGGAGGGTCCCCCAAAGCTGGATCTAGCACCTCCCTACACCAACTCCCTTGCCCTGGCCAAAGGCACAGTTCGTTAGAACAGGAAGTACCTGGACTTTGCAGTCAGTCAGAGGTGAGGAGGCTGAAACCTGCCCAAGCTGGAACTGGCCTGGGCTCTCCTGGCCATACTCACCTAGTAGTACAGGATTCCTAGGGCTAGCGGCAGAACCTGGGTGACTATGAGGTGGCAGGGCTCTGCTTGGCCCTCGTGACACTAAACATTGCTGTTTCAGTATCCAGGCTGGTCCAGAGAGTACTGGGGATGTTGGAATGGTCCTATGGTCTGTAGGTTTTCAGGCTACCTACTGTTCCCAGCTTCATGGTGTTGGTAAACAGCCAAGTCAAGAGTTGTTACTGCCCTTGTGAAGCCAGGAAGGATGAGTGGTTCCTGCCCTCTCCCCCTCTCACTGTGGTCCAGTCAGGTTACCTGAGTAAAGGCTAGATTGTGGGAATGGGAGATGGGAGACTTTCTAACAGGTCAAATTGAATGGTGGGGGATGGAGAAGGGTTACACAAAGAAACAATATTTATACAAAATAATTTATTTTAAAAGGTACCATTCATAACAGCCAGGGAGAGCTAGCAAGTTCTTGATGTGGCATGAGCAGGTGTCCTGCCTTTTTACTTTCACTCTTAATTAGAGAACTAGCTGCTTAGCATTCCCACCAAGTGGAAGGGTCTAGCCCTTCCTAGAGAAAGGAACTGGGGAGGACCCTGATAAAATGTCTTAAGAAAGCAAGGATGGCAAACTTCTGCTGTTTTGACAATTCAGGGAGGCCAGGGGCCTGGCTAGCCATTCCTGGGTTTCTTTCCTCATGACAGGGTCCCAGGACAGTTTCTAAGACCTTTAGAAGCCTGTAGTTCTTAAAGGCTTTGAGGACTTTAGTCCCCAGTGGCACCTAGTCCTGGAGAGTGGGGGACACATATGTGTCCTATATTGGGTTCTAGGGGATCAACTAACTTCCGAAGCTGCTGTGTTCTTAACCTCAGGGGGTCAGAGACCCATCCATGGATCTGGTAGAATAGCTAGCCTGGCCAACGTGGTGACCCTAGTTGTTGGCTAAGGGCCCAAGGGAGAGGGCATCGGTGGTGGCAGTGAAAGTGGCAGTGGCGACAAGTGGCCGGTTAATGCAGCGCAGATTTCCAGTTTTGAGTGCACATTGCACGGGCCAGAGTACCACACAAAACAGCACTAGCAACAGTACAGAAACCAGAGCTACACGACGCCAGTCCCCAAAGCGTGCCCAACAGCGGGCCAGACAGCCTCGGTTGGGTGCAGGTTCCTGGATAGGTGGCGGTAAGTTGGGCTCAGCTGGTTTGTTCAGGCTTACATCCACACACACAAAGCCACTGGCCTCTTGGTCAGAAGTGGTGGGCAAGGGGCGGCAACACAATTTGGTGCCCTCAAGCCATACAGGCTCCTCCTTCTGTAGGTGCACTGGCATCTTGGCCTGCAGCTGACGACTAGTGCGTAGTGCAGGAGCCCCAGCAGCAGGCACAGTTGTGGGCTGCCGGCAGAATGGACAAGGCACAGCTTCTCTGCCAGGATGGCCTGCAGGCTGGGCAGCTGCCAGTCTAGCCAAACATTCAAGGCAGAAGACATGAGAACAGGAAAGTTCCTTAGGTGTCTTGAAGATATTGTCATAGCCTGAGAAGCAGATGGAACACTCCAGTGGAGAAGCTACCTTCTCTGAGCCAGGAGTACTAGGGGACCTGGGACTGCCAACTGAGCCAGGGGACCTGGGCACTGTGGTTGTGGAGCTGCTCTGGCGGGGTGGCATGGGTGTATGCCATATCTGCCGGCCTGTTGACATGATTCTGAGCTGTGGAATAGAGATAGGACACTATGAGATACCCTTTTTCTAAAAAGCCTGTCACACCCCCTCTTTTCTTACCCAGTATCAGACCCAAAAATTCCAATAAAGAACACTATCTACAAGTAGCCACAAAATTCCACCCATGTCCAAACTGTAACCTATCACATTTATTACAAGGTCAAAAGTCCCATGCTCCAGGCATGGACAGTACAGACAGACTTCAAGAATAAAGCCTATGTGCTAGGAGTTGTCAACACTGATAGCTGGACACCTATTGTCCATCCTTCAATGTGCTGATGAGAATGGCCTACTGCAGCTACTATTTAAGGCTCTGTAAGGCTGAACCCATGCCACAGAATAATCATAACAGCTTCTCCATATAGAGAAGGCAGCTCTAAGCTAGAGTGACTTAACTAGGGTCTTCCGGACCAGAGTCAATTGGAAGCTGGGCCCTGATAGGCCCATGAGCTACTGGTGGCTTTGAGCTGTGTGGAAGGGGTTTGAACTTGGTCCCAGTGTGTCTCTGATTTGTATGGCATACATCTCAGTTGCCAGCAGCTGTGTGAAAAATCTGGGGTCTCTGGGAGAGCAGCTGGGCCCATAAAGCTCTGAGAAAGTGAGGGCCTTAGTTGAGGCCCAAGAAGTTTTTGAACATTTGACACCTGGAATCTGGGGCCAGCTTGTTTGTTAGGGATAAGGACAAGTGCCTGAGGCCAAGGATTAAAAATGCTCCTTAGCCACTGTCCAGAGAACACCCCTACCCTGTTCTACCAGATTAGTCACACAGCTGCCTGTCAAGGAGAAGGTGGAATGTAGAAGATCCAGGCCTTCTTTTTTGATAGCTCACCCTACTTCCCTGAGAGGAATCCTAGAAACACACTGACCACTAAGTACTGTTTGCTAACCTCCCCTCGGCCAGGACTATACCTCAGGAGCCACAAACATTCAGAGCAGAGAAGAATATTAACCATGAAAGTCTTAGCCTTATAACCCATGGAGGCCAGCAGTACAACAGAGATTATCCTTCTCACTGGTCAGCTCCAAGTGAGTGAGCTGAATGGCTGAAAGACTGCTGAATCATCACCATGACATCATGAGGGCCCCAACATTCAATGCCACCACTTCCTGGAAGCAGCAGTGGTCTTGGCAAGGTCTGATAGGACCTTGGGTCTACCCTCCCCTAACCTGTGCTGCTCATAGGACTGGTTCCTTGGTACTAGGCCTCACATTTCATGAAAGGGCCTCACTCTGAGACAGCATAGGTGAAAGGTGACAACAGACTGAGCTGGCCTTACCTGGTAGCTGGGGGTCAGCAGTTCCTGGACATGATCCTCTCCACTGGCCACAGCAAAGCTCTGTGTGTCTAGGCTGACCAGCTCAGTAAGAGCTTGTTCCCCCTCCTCCAGGTCCAGCCTAACCTCTGCTCCACCTGGCAGGTGTTCCTCCACAGGCTAGCAGCCAACAGCCTTCTTGTGGTACCGGTCTGGCTGGCACACCTCTTCTGTGCGTATGTGGGAATGGGAGGTATGATACCTGTGTTCTTCACCCAGGAGCTGGCTGACTGAGACACGTGTGAATTCTCAGGCCATGAGCTTTGAAACAGGTTTATTTATACCCTCCAGGTCATGATGGCTGGGGGTGTGGCCCTGAATGCCCTGAACATCAGAGATTGGCTGGTCTCTTCTTTGGTAGGCTCAGAAAGGGTGGGGATCCACAGGAAGGGTTAGAGTCAGGATGGATCTAGTATCAACACAGGTCTCTGGTCTTGGGACTCCAGACTGAGAACAGATGCTCACATACTCAAAAACCTCCCTTTGGAAAGGAAGTGTGCTCAACTGGTCCCAAGTATGCTCAGCAGGGATCCTTCACTTAGCCTTGCACACTCCCAGACACAAACCAGTTTGCCCCCTTCTCCCTATCTCTATCTGTGCCCATCAATGTCCTGTTCCTTCTTTCATCGAACCTGCATTCTCACAATTGCTTAATGCAAAACCCTCATCTGCTGCTGCTTCAGCACCCTACAGCTTTAGGGAAATTCCTTGCCCTGGAGTCCTGGAAGAAGGGGTGCAAGGTCAGGGCTAGGCAGGCCTGGGGTACAGCCTAGATATTGGGTCAGTTAAGAATATTAGGGACCCAGGCTGGCCATAATACATTGAGTATCTGCTTGGGTACCATTTGTTCCATACTTCAGGAAGCCCCTACCTTCAGGTGTGCTTGGAAAGATGGGGGGTCTCAAAAGCTTTGACCAGGTAACAGTATTGTTCAAAAGGGTTGGTGGTCAAGGAATATCTAACATTGGGCAGGGAGTGCCACACTGGAATGGGTTGGACTGGGACTGTGCATAGGCAGCCCCTGGTCTTCCCCAGGCCCACTGATCTGAGATATCCTTGCTGACTAGACTCAATAACCCCAGAGGATATTTCTCTTCCCCTCCCACTTTGGTCAGGCTAGGTTCTTTCCTATCTTTCTGGAGTGGCTGTCTTCTGGCACACTGAATTGTAGGGTTCTGAGATAGGAGCTCACACACAGGCCTGTGGGGAGGGTATGCTGCTAGGAGCCTCATTTTGGTGGGAGGAATGGCCTTAGACACTCAACTATCCAATGGTTCAGATCCCCAGAAGCTGCCACAATTTTGCTCCTAGATATCCTTATGCTCAATGCCAACTTTCAAGGGAGTAACATATGGGGGATTGTGGGAACCTGGGGACAATGTCCTATCAGAGGAAGGGGCCTGAGCTCTGGAAGGATAAAGAGTCCCCTGCCTAATTCTGTGAGTATGAGGAGCCTAATTCCATGAGTACTAAGAACCAAAAAATGGGGCCCAGCGAAATAGAGGCTTGAGGAAAAATGAAGACCTAGAGAGGAGATGGGTAACTAAAGGTATAAGAAGGGATATTGATGGGTCTAGAATTAGAGAAGACATGAGGGTGCTAAGGAGGGAATGCTGCTGAGGGCCCAGCCCAAGTGATCTGTATAGAGTATGACTCTGTGTCACATGCTACCTCTAGGAAGCTAGAGTCCCAGAGTTCTGAGGAACAATCTTCAGAGGGCTCCTGGAAATATCCAAGCTCTGATGTCACCAAGGCTACCCAGTGAACAGTCAATGTCCAGAGGCAAATGTGCTGTGAGGACTGAGGAATCTACCAGGCCTCACACAGTCCTGGCCTTCTTCCAGTCCTGACCTCAGGGGAAGTCAACTCCCAGCTGGCAGAGGGACCAGGACTTGGAGGAGCCCCAACTAGTATAGGAAGAACTTGGACTACACTGTCTAGGACAGTAAGTGGGGTCCATCTTGACCCTATCTATAAACATCATTGGACTCAATGCTCCAATAAAAAGATACAGACTAACAGAATGATTGTGGAAACAGGATCTAACATTCTGCTGCATTCAAGAAACATACCTCTGTAACAAATATAGACCCTACCTCAGAGTAAAGGGCTGGAAAAAGGTTTTTCAAGCAAAGGAGCCCAAGAAGCAAGCTGGAGTAGCCATCCTAATATCTAATAACAAAGACTTTCAATCAAAATTAATCAAAAAGATAGGGAGGGACACTTCATTCTCATTAAAGAAAAAATCCACTGGGAGGACATCACAATCCTGAATATCTATGCCACAAATACAAGGGCACCTGCACAGCAGGAAAGTGACAAAAACTGTCAAGCAGTGAATGTGGGTGTGCACATCAACATACGACTACCATTGTGCACACGTATGCTGTGTTAGTATGTTCTCACTCTGGGTCCCACAGCTCTACCAGCTCCATGTCTATGGGTGAGGCCCTAACTGACCCCATCCTTGTACCAAACTAGTCACACTCTCTCAGTAGTATCACAAAACCTACCATGATTACAGCCCTCACTACCAAGGCTGTGGACCTGGCTGTAGATCTCTGATGAAGCGCTGCTGAGACAAGACATGGCTAGTGCATGAAGTCTTTTAGGACCAGGACTTTTCTTAGGTTCTTAGTCTTAGGCCAATCCCTTATCTGTGCCTGGTGCTGGTCACCTCTACTGGCCATTGAGCTGTCCCCCAAACAATGGATATAAAAGGCTAGATATGCACATTCTCATTTGGTAGTTGCCCTGTGGCCAGAATTCTTCCTAAGGCCTCAGCTGCTAGCTAAATAAACTGGTTTTCCCACAATGGGTGCTAGGATGGAGTAGAAGGTGCCACTGGGTTTGGCATTTTGGGCTCTTTGCCCCTCCCTTTGTTTTTTTTTTTCAGATAGTTTCTATTTGTAATAGCTCTGGTTGTACTGGAATTGATTTTGTAGACCAGGCTGACCTCAAACTCACAGAGATACATCTGCCGTCCAGTGCTGGGATTAAAGGCATGTGAGCCACCATATTCAGTATTTTGCCCCATCTTTTGGGCCTGGATGTAAACATGGTCTTATACTGTCTGGATATAAGATGGCCTGAACACTGGTATCCTTCTGTACCTAGCAGTAAGGACAAGGTCCCCAAAGACCTGTATGAAAGCCTCTTACTTATGACTTGTTTATGGGTTTTTCTTGTGTCAGTTCTTCCAGTGTTCATGACCAAGGCCCCAACCCCTTGTCCTATCACTCTTGTGGTCCTTGGCCTCACCCACCTAATACTGGTGTTGGTCCTTTCTTGTCTCACCCATCCTTAGTGGGGTGGCTTTGGAACACTTTCAGTGCTACGGAATGAAAAATACTGAGCACACAAAGGAATGAGGGTGCGAGGAACAGAAAGTGGAGAGATGGGGGAATGGGTGACCCAGAATTTCTACCTTGGAGTGCCTGAGCACTGGCTACTCAGAATAAGTTGACAAAGGAACTATCTGAGACCCCAGGGAGCCAGACTGGTAGCCACTTTTTCATGTTGCCTTCCCTCATAGCTGTCAACATCTCTTTCTACTTTTCATTAGACAGCATACTAGGGAACCCTAAACCTTAAGATGTTTCATGTTGGCTAGGGCACCCAACCCTACTATAGGACTTAATAGTGTCAAGCTGCTTATGCTACTCCACATCCTGTCTCTAGGGCAAGGTCTTTGGTCTCAGAATAAAGAATCTGGGCCTGGAAACCTACATCTTAACCTGACAGGATCTTATTCCCCAGCATTTTTCTAAAATATAGCCTAGGGCAGACACATGCCCTTCGGATGCCTCAGGCAAGAAACTCATTTCAGATTTCCACAGATGTCTTGGGCCACAGCCCTCTAGCCAGTACATAGAGACCTATGGAAGTTACAAAGCAAGTGCTCTATTGCTGAGAAGAGACATTATGACCTCAGTAAGTCTTATAAAAAAGAAAGCATTTAATTTGTCCTTGCTTACTGTTTTAGAGGTTTAGTCCATTATCAGCATGGTAGCACACAGGCAGACATGATGCTGGAAGAGGAGCTTAGAGTTCTACATCCAGATCTGTAGGTAGCAGGAAGAGAAAGCCACTAGGCCTGGCTTAAACTTTTGAGACCCCAAAGCCCACTCCCAGTGACACACCTCCAACAAGGCCACACCTTCAAATCCCTCTCAAGTACTGCCATTCCCTGATGACTAAGCATTCAAGTATATAAGCCTATGGGAGGCATTCTCATTCAAACCACCAGGGACTTCCAGAATCCCTGTGCTCTCTGCACTCCTTAACCAGTTCCACCACTAATCAGCAGACAAACATCTCCATACAGGCTTTGAGTGTGACCACTAAGCTGGACTCAGCTGGCCAGGGTAGAGGGCTCTGCTTTTCTCAAGGGTGACTGAGACCCATAAATTGTCAGGGGCCCCACAATGCTTAGTGATGTATCTGTAGTCTTATCTGAAGGACCATGCCGTGCTTGATTGGCACCTTCTACCTCAGGTACTAAGGAGCTGGGGTTGTTGTCCCATGCAAGACAGTGCCCTGAAATGGGAGGGGCTATATGTGATACAGGTCCCGGCCAAAGGCACAAGGGGATGGGTTGTGCTACACTGCCAGTCCCACTGGACAACAGATGGTACTGGATCCTGCTGAGGGGCTCCTCTTTACCTACCTGACTCTCTGTCCCCTGAATATGGCAATGGGGTAGATGGCTCCCACACACTGAATAGATGACTCTTGGGACAATAAGGCTAGAGGAAAGAAGATCTAGACTAGTTTAACTGGTCCAACTTTAAATCACTGCTGCTACCCAAGCCACTGGTTCAAGTGCAGGAAAGCAAGCTCATACCACTGTTAGTAATATCAGATGCGTGCCTGATGCTGAAGATGCTAGACACCCTTGGCCCATACACGGAGGCTGGCATTTGTTAGGACGGCACCCTCTTCTACAGAAGGCACATGGCCAATGCCACCAGCCACACTAGTAGTTCACAGGCATAGCTTCTGAGGGCTTGAAACAGCAAAGACGGAGCCACTGACCAGCATCTTTACACACCCAATGAGACAGTAAGGTGAAGGGTTCAGAGATGGAGGCACCATGGGTAAACCTATTACTTTTGTGTGCCCAGCCTGAAAAGTAGCTGGATGGGAGTCTGTCCCTGGGAGACAAGGTTCTGCTTGTCTGGAACCAGGAAATGCAGCACACTCAATTTTCAACTCTCAGAAATGTGTGTCTTGAGCTAAATTAGCAGGCAGATGCTGGAGCAACCCATTTCTGGTACCAGTTTCCAGGTTGTTTTCTCCACCTTCAGGGGCTTGGTTTCACTCTTCTTAGCTTGGTAGTGATGGAGAGAGTTCTGTCTACTATGGGTTCCAGTTGGTGGCCTCCAGAAGTTTTGACCATTGGGATCAGGCCTGTGTTGTAACTGTTACAGATGCTGGAACCTTGCTGTGACTCCTAAGGGGCCCAGACCCCACATAATTTGCTTTTGAGTCCTCAGGTCTCACAAACAGATGATTACTCCTGTTACCACAATCTCATGGCATGGAGGTTAGCCCCCTAGCATTTGTATGTGTCTGTCACTGACAGCCAATTCTGGCCTATCTTAAGCCTCAGGCCCTTAGTGTATTGAGCTCAATGGAGGGGAGCCTTGGGTCTCCACTGCAGTACTGTGAAGTCTCAGTTGACCTCTAGGTCAGACGTTGCTGATGTGGGCCTCCACTGTGGAAAAGGCAGAAGGATTCCTATTCTTGTCTGGGTGCTGCTCGCGCCTGATGTATCTTGGCTTCCTCACTGAAATGGGGTCAGAGACAAGTTGAGTCAGAGATAGGTAAGTTCAGGTCTTTGCCTGCGCTGTTGGCTCTCAGGAGCATAGTGAATAGCCACAGGACACAAAGCCCACGTATGGTGTTTATTCTAACAAGAAAGTGATGCTCCACTTGTACAAAGGCAGTTTCTTCTGATGGAGGCTCCCATGAGCTCACCTATTTCCTATTAGATCCCCAGACCTCACACCTCAGGCCCTGGGCCTGGATCAAAGCCCAGCTATTCCTTAAGACAAAAGCACAAACCATATCTGCATTATACACTACAACGAGTTGGATGGCACTCTCTAAAGACAGGGCCATACCCTGAGCTTTGAAGCCCATGAACATAACCTTTTTTCATTTGAAAAAAGCTCTGTGCAGATGTGATTCTATTAGGATAGGATGTGAGATCATCCTAGATTAATCAGGTGAACTTTGAAACCAATGACTAGTATCCTCTTTACAGAAAAAGAGAGACAAGCCACAGGAGGTATGAGATATTAAGAGCTGGAAGAGACATGAGGGATTCCCCATCCACCAGAACTTGGAATGAATGTCTCTCACCCCCACATCGTAATTTCTGGCTCCAAGAACTATCAAGGGACAGTTTTCTTCAAGAGGCCAGTGTGTGTATTTTGTTGTATGGTACAAGTCACTGACAACACCTGTAAGGTCCTCGGGGACAAGGCTGCTTTGGAGAACTTGAGACAGGTATTAATTGGAACAAGGTATGTCTAATTTCATCAAGGAACTACTTTATCTTCAAAAAGAGAGAAACATTGTCACTGGTTCTCTATTCTAGACCTTTGCACAGTGAAAACAAAGAGATGGGAAAAGAGGTTAAGCATATCCTCTCTGGGACTTGTAGCTATGTAACCATGGGCCAGTCAACCTTTCTGCTCATGGTCTCTTCTATACAGTAGGTTACAACTGCTCAGATAGGCCTGGCAGAAAACAGCTTAAGAACAAACTGTCCTGTTCCTTGCAGCTTTCAAGCAGAGCCAGACATGGCTACAGGAGAAGCAGGGAGTCTAGCCCTATGCCAAGGAAGGGAGATCATATGGAAACCATGTGGGTTGATGAGAAAGAAGAGTAGAGCCTGCTGAGCACTTGTCCTTGTCCCTGTATTATGGGACAGTCTATTTAGAATGTGTGAAGGCAGGTCAGGTCCCAGAGAGGGAACTTTATATCTGGGGATAAACCACAGAATAGGCTTTGAAGATGGCCCACAGTAAAACCCTTCCACCCAATTCCCATAACATGCTGCAGTTTGTACCTGAAGACTGTGGCAGGGGGACCATTGAAGCCTTGAAAAGAAAAGGGCAGAGTGAGATCTGGCTGGCGTGGCACAGGTACACACAACCCTCAGCCCAATTCAGCCTAGTTGGGCAGGTTACTTACTGTTTCACCAGTCTGCAAGACAGGGGCTGGGGAAGAAAAGGCCATGTCATTCTGCTGCTCAGCAGCTGCCTCAGCTCTGAGTGCTGCCCTGAGCACCCTGAGCCTGGACAGCTGCACAGCCACATTTCTTACCTGGGAAATTCTAAGCAGCAGGGCCCAACCTCATATTTTCAGCTACAACAGCACCCAAAGGCACCCTGTGTTGGTGGGTATGGGCACAGCGGAATCCCTGTACCTGCTGGGGACCACCAAGGCCCTGCATAGGGATAGACTTTGGATAGCAGCCCTGAAGCTAGGCAGGTGGAAATTCAGCCACAGGAGAAAGTACCTCTGTTTCTCCTGTAGAAAACCTCAGGAAGCTTACTGGAGCGCTTGAGGTAGAAGAACCCAGCCACACAGAGGATGAGGCCTGTGCTGATGAAGAGTGTCCCCAGGAAGAGGGAAGCTGCCACATGAGGACCCCCTGCAGACAAACCAAAAGCTGCCAGGAGAGCCTGGTGCCCACCACTTCCCAAACATACCTGAGCATTTGCTAGGTGCTAGCCATAGGTCAGAGCAAGGCTGTGCCCTCAGGCTCCTCCACAAGCCCAACACATCTAGCCACAAGATAAGGGACACATTAGCCAGTTTCCTGACCCAGGCTAATTTCAGGCTCTAGAAGTTTCAGGTCCTGGGTTATCTCCATTAGACTGGCTCAGCCGCCTGGAGTAAAAGTCAAGGCCTCCAGCCTTGGCAGCAGGTACTTTTGCTGCATCTCACTTCTGATACATGAAGTCACCTCCTGCTCATCTCATTTGTTTGTGGTCAACACATACTAGGGAGCTGGTGGTTGGCGTAACAGTCTAACTGCCAGCTATAGGAGCTATTTTTCTTACTGAGATGCTGTGGACCTTGATCTATCTCATTGATACTGTGCAAAAGGTATGGTTACGGTCCTATCTATACTAACCCACCCTAAACAACACTGTTCTGTACAACTGGCTTCCACTGTTGAGAACAGAACCTTTTTGGAGTGCAATTTCTGGTTGAAAGGAGGAATGGGTTCTACGACTCCGGGAAAGAACTGAACCCTCTCAGAATAGGCCTCTAAGCTGGGTTGTGGCAGTGCATTCCTTTAATCCCAGTACTCAGGAGGCAGAGGCAGATCGTTAAGTTCCAGGCCAGCCTGGTCTACAGAACTTGTTCCAGGTCAGCCAAAGCTACACAGAGAAACGCTGTTTTGAAAAAACAGAAAGAAGAAGAAAAACAAAACAAAACAAAAACAAAAAAACCAGGACTCCTTCACTGTTGAAGGTTGTGTTCACCTCAGGGCATTGTGTCCCTAAAGTGACTCAGTTACCTCAGAAAAGGCAGTCTGTACTGGAGCTCAGACCAGCTCCCTGACATATGGGGTTCCTCTGCCTTGGACATACTCTCTCTGGCAGCACCAGGCCCAGTCCCCTCTCCTGTTTGCCTGGCCACACTGCTACCACAGACATATTCCTCCATCCTTTACTCCCCAGGCCTTCATTTAAGGTGGGCTTAAAGGTTCTGGAGATATGAACATCAGATGATAGGGCCTGTCCCTTCCTTGAAAACAGATCAGGACATATGGCCTGTGTGTTCGCAGTCTCATCAGAGGCCTATATCTTACAACAGCCAGCTGGGATGGGGCAATGAGGGCCAGAGTGGACATGGAGTGAGGCAAAGGCTAAGCATACTTAGGTAGTAGTGAGGGCTGTTATTAACTAAGGCTCTTTGGAGACCATGAAGTATCTTACTCACATGCCATCCCCACACATGCCCATACCCAAGCCAAATGACCCCAGCCCCAGGGGATACTGGACTCTCTACAGACCTTTTCCTTGACCAGAGTTCCTAGAAGAAAATATTTAACTTCAGGACAGACACTGGTACCAGTACCAACTCTAATGATGTGCCCCAGCCCCAGGTCCCAGGCACAGGCACAGGCACAGTTCTGGACTTAGGAGCTAAGAGACTTACCAAAATGTGGCTGTCCAGGTGTCCCTGTGCTTCTGTTCATGGGAAACTGCATGCCCCGACCAGTGACTGTGGGAGAGCAGAACTGAGGGGAGGCCTGGGCCATGCCTGAGACCCTACTGAGGCCTCCACATATGTCCTAAAGGGACATCTTAGTTAGAGATGAGAAAGCGAGGAGCAGTTCTCACCCACAGCTGTCCTCAGTGAACAGACACGCAGAGAGGAATCCAAGGGACTGCTCACTGACAGACAATACAGCTGGGCAAGGTGAGTGTTGTCCTTGCCGTTGGAGTGGACAAGTACAGTGGTTCCCTTGATTTCTCCCCAAATTGGACATAAGGACCCCTGTGAAGTATAAGGGAACTGGGCAAGAGAGCTTGAAAAAACATACGACTTCTGCACTCAGAGCCATTGTATGTTGGGAGGGTCCCATTCCAGCATCGGACACAGCTAGCACTCCCATCTGCATTCCAGTGCCTGTAGCAACCTGTACCAGAAGACAGGGTTTTTCAGCCAAAGTAAGTCAAGGTGCTCTGTCTTCTGCAAGCTTTTCTGTATTGTGAATTGGTAATTTTCTTTTTTTTTTCTTTTTTAATCTTAACATGATTTTTGTCTTGGGGAAAAACATGTTATATACACTCAACATTATGTACATAGAAACATATTTTGGATTTCATGATATACCTTACTGTTGCCTGGACCTCTGATTTCACTCTTTTCTCTGTGTCTGGCACATACCTTTTTCCTTTATTTGCTTCTTTCCATTACTGTTTTTAAAGCTTAAAGTTACAGATTTTTTTCATAATTTACAAGGAATATTTGAAATAAGAATTGTTACAGAAAATTTGGATTACAAGGGTTTTATCCCTGCACCAGTTCCATGGCACATCAATAGTCAAGATTAGTTAATTGACAGTTATCTCATTTTTTAAATTTCTTTTTCTTTCTTTTTTTTTTTAATTTTAATTTTTCTTTTTAGTTACAATTTGTTAATTCTGTGTCCCAGCTGTATCCCGCTCCCTCATTCCCTCCCCCTCCCCAACTCCCTCCCTGGTCTCCTCCCTGCCCCTTTCCAAGTCTACTGTTAGGGGAGGACCTCCTCCCCTTTCATTTGACCCTGTTTTATCAGGTGTCTTCAAGGCTGGCTGCAAAGTCCTCCTCTGTGGCCTAACAGACTGCTCCTCCCCTGGGGGGCGGGGGAGGTCAAAGAGCCTGCCCTTGAGATCCTGTTAGAAATAGTCCTTGTTCCCCTTACTTTGGAAGTGAATTGGTAATTTTCAACTCAAGAACCCTAACATGCTGTGGAAGTCTGTAGGGCATAGGCTCCAATTCCAGAAAAAGAAGTAAACTCAAGAGGAAGCATAGCACTCTCAACCAAGTTCCCGTGGATGCCTGTCACTAAGGCAGTCATTTTACTGGATGCCTCAGGAGACTATTCCAACCTAAAATTAATAGGTACTATGTGAAGGTCTAGACTATGTACCAGAATCACTTCCTCCAGGATACAAGGTCATAAGTATAGCAGTGTACTCTCACTTGGGCCTCTACATGGGGGGAGGTGCTCATAGGTTTGTCTGTTGTCCCTGTGCCATTTCCTAGCGTTTCTATAGCAGGATCAAGGCAAATTTCTATCCCAGATTGGTACTGACCAAAGACACATCTACATACTTGGGGTAACCCAGCCTATACTGGCAGTGAATAGTTTCCCCTCTGGTCAGGGCATACCTGTACTTCTAACATCCCCAACACAGAAGAAAAGCAAACATGTTATATATATATGTTGACTGGGTACTAGACGCCAAATATTGGGCAGTATGTAGAGCTAAACCATGGGTCACTGAACCTTAATAATCAATGGTTTTTAATGTCTGATTTGAACAGGGTTGAGGTAAGACGGAAACTTTTCTGTGGTGGCAGAGATAGTACCAACAGCAATGGATAAATGGTCTAAGAGGGCCAGCATTCTAGCTCTGCCAATGCTGTGGGCAAACGACCACACAGGAACAAAGTCCAACTTCGCAGTTCTACTTCAGTGGAAGAATACTGCTCAAACAGGAATCATAAAATGAGGAATGACTCCTACAGTGGCCCAATTTTTCCCCTCTTATCAGTTCAAGGCATGAGTAGATCTCATTGGAGGTATGGGTGTCTACGAAAAGCAAGACCAAGGAACGTGGAGTCCTCAGTACAAAACCTAACACAAAGATTCTGAACAGGCAGTGCTTGCCTTCATCCAGCCCTTGGGAGACAAAGACAGTTTGTAGCCCCAAGGGATGCAAGGTCCCAGGTATTTCCATTAATATGAAGAAACCTAGGAAAGGTCAGCTGCCAGAACTTTAGATTAGAGGGCTGATGACAGCCCTCTGGCATCACCAGATTTTCTCTGCCCACCAAAGAAAAATGTCCTTTTCCCTTTGTCACCACACTCAACCTTGACCCCTGCCCCACTTCCAGCCTCAACATCTTGTCCATGTCCTCTTCCCATAGTACCCGACCGATGTTTTGGGCCACTTGCTTCTCTTAACAATCCCTCTGGGTTTGTGTCATCTCTTTCCCACAAAGACTTCTTGCCTCAAGACAGGCCAAAATAGTGAATGGTCCTGATATTTCACTTTGGTCTTCCTCTCCTGGATGCCCCTCACCAGCTGGACTTCTCTCACCAGCCCTGACCTCTGTCAGCTGCTTTCAGAAAGTCCTATCTTCATAGCCTCCTAGAACCTTTTGTGGATCAGGGACCTCACCTTTGGTATGCTGACACTGAGGCTGGATTGTCCTCTGTGGTAGAGTCATCTAGTGCATTGAGGCTAGTCAACAGCACCCTGGCCTCCACCTCCAGGTGCTAGACCTTCTCAAATCATTTAGCACCAGTTGTGATGACCAAAAATGCTTCCAGACATTGTTGGATATTCCAAGGTCAAGATACCGCAAGAGGTTCTGGAGAGATGACTCAGTAGTTAAGCACACCTGCTATTCTTTTTTTTTTTTCTTGTCTGTTTGTTTTTTTAATGTATTAGTGTGAAGGTGTCAGATTCCTTGGAATTGGCATTACAGACAGTTGTGAGCTGCCATGTGGGTGCTGGGAATTGAACCAGGTCCTTCAGAAGAACAGGCAGTCCTCTTAACCACCAAACCATCTCTCCAGCCTCCACATTTACTATTCTTAACGAAGACCTGGGTTTGGTTCCCAGCACCCACATGTAGGCTCACAGTCGTCCATAACTCTAATTCTAGAGAATCTTGTACCCTCTTCTGCATTCTGAGGGTACCAGGTATGCATGTGGTACACATACATACATACATACATACATACATACATACACATATACATATATGCACCATCTATATAAATACACAGGCAAACACTCACACATAATATAAAAATAAATCTTTTAAAAGATACTTTAAAAGCTGCTGAGTTCCTGGAAGCACTATCCTGGCTTAGTCTCTTTCTGAGCCCCATGCCCCCTCCTCCTCTGAACCTTCTCCTTCCTGTGCCTCAGCTCTTCACAGAATATGTCCTCCAAAGCGTCCTTGCATGGACTAGACAAGGGTATGGATAGGCTGCTTAGAAAGGAAGCCCAGGTAGGCCTCCTTTGCACAATGGCACAGTCTGCGCTATCCCAAGTTCCACCATTCTCTCAACTATATTGCCACTGAGGAGTAAAAGACATCTAGGGAGGCTGGCGGGGTGACTGGTCTGCTATGTACTTCTAACAGTGACGCTTACCTGGGCCACACAGACCTGTGCTTGGGCAGGTAGTATTGAAGTCTACCACATCCATACAACACTCAAGTTGCTGGGCCTGGAGGAGAGATATCAGTGAGATAGGTGGGAAGTGCCTAGCTCATGAAGCACAGCATTGGTCATAACAGGGCCTTATCTTTCTCATCACCCACAACTTTCAAATTCTCTAGGGTCAAGTGACATCCCTTCAACAAGTGAGTATTCCCACTCCACTCCTACTGCAGCCCATGTTGGCAGAGCACTGGGAAAATTCTAGCCCTAGACAGAGAGATCAAAACTGGGAGTTACTGATACAAACTGGGGCTATCTACCTATCCATCTGGATTAGATTCCTGTCACATCACTTGAATCACTACCCAACAGGTCCTTCTCCCACTGGTTCTGGGTCTAAGCTGCAAAGTCTGTGGCCAGTAAACATTTGATGAGTGAGTAAGCCACCAAGTTACAAGGCTAGAATCTGACCAGGTGTGTCCAACACTAGCTACCTAGTCCCTCAAATGCCAGGAAGGGTAAGAACTAATAAACTTACATGAACTGGCCTGGGGCCTAGGCCTTGGACAGTATGGCATGGTGTGGCACAGAACAAACTGCCCTAAAATTGAATACTTAGACTCTGGAGAGAGCCCAAAAGGAGTCTTTGACTATCTCTTGCCTGTTACCTGCGAGGACAGGGACAGGCTAAGGCCCTCATGGAGCAGTGCCCTCCCTGTATTGAAAGGGCAAGTCCTTGTCTCTGAAGTTACAGGAACAAGAATCTGAACAGCAGCCTGATTAGGTCTCTAATTAATGACCATCAGATTATACCCTCTGTCCAATCACACTTTTTTAGAAACACCCCTCTTCCCTAAACCCAATATAAATAAATATACATGTGTCCCTATTTCTTTGTGCATCCTAGGTAAACAAATTCTCGAGAAATGTAAAACTTATATTTAGTTTGTCTTTTCCCTATTCTTAATTTCTAAATTTTATTTATTATTATTATTTTTGTTTTATTGTGAGGCACAGTTTCATCATGTAGCTTTGGCTGGCCTGGAACTCACTGTGTAGGCCGCCACCTGTCTCTGCCTACCAAGTCCTAGGATCAAAGGCATGTGCCATGATACTCAGATTTTTTTATTTATTATTATTGTGTGTATATGAGTATGGGTATGTACACAGAAGTCAAAGGACAACTTTTTTTTTTTTTTTTTCCAAGCCTTGGCTGTCTTGGACTCACTTTGTAGACCAGGCTGGCCTCAAACTCACAGACATCTGCCTGCTTCTGCCTCCCTGAATGCTAGAATTACAGGCTTTCGCCACCACGTCCAGCTTCAGAGGACAACTTTTGGGAGTCCTTCAACTGTGGGTTCCAGGGACCAAACACGGGGCCATCAAGCTTGGCAGTATGTGTCCCTCACCTGCTGAGCTATCTTGTTGACCCTGTTTATTTGTGTTTTTAAGACATGGCTCTATGGCTGGGATATAAAGTAAATAACCTGTGATTAATATAAAAAAATTAATAAAAAAAAAAAAAAAAAAAAACAACACATGGCTCCAGCCAGGTGGTTGTACATACCTTTAAATCCCAGTACTCTGGAACTCTGAGTTTGAGGCTAACCTGGTTTATTATAGTTTGAGGCTAGCCTGATCTATAGAGCAACCTCCACTCCAGGTCAGACAGAAAAACCCTATCTCAAAAAAAAGAAAAAGAAAGAAAAAAAGAAAAAGGACAAGGATCCATTGTATAACTCAGTCCTACTGTCTCAGCCTCCCGAGGGAAAAGGCTACATGTTTGTATGACCATGCCTGGTAATTCTGTTTTTTTATGATCTAAGCTTGGTTAATAGTAAGGAGTGTCTAAAGGGTAACAGGGACACAGGGGAGTATCCACAGCACCATGGGAAGAATCAAGGCCCTGTACACAAGCCATCCTTCTCATTATCCTTGGCCAAGTCAGTAAGGGATTCTCTATACCATTACCCCCAAATAATGAGGCCCCATCCTGCTTGGCTTGGAGAGCAGAGTAATGGCACCTCCATTTGATATAGCAAAGCTCAGCCTACTGGAGTGTCATGGGCTATGTTCAACTACTTCTGGTGGGAACTAGTATGTTTGACCATGTGTGCCTACCAGTCATTAGCTCTCCAAAGTAAGCAACAACTGAGGCAGCACTGGAGAGTGGTTCTGCAGGGATTCTAGGTCAGCTATAGCAAAAAGTAGGTCTGGCAAAGAAACTTCTAGAAAGCAGAACAAAGCAGGTGATAGGTACAGTTCAGACACCTCCAATCCTAGCAGTAGACTCCAAGGGGATTCTATCAGGTTAGACTAACATCAGTAGACCTTAAGTTCAAAGACTGAGATTTTTATGGGGTAAAGATCCATTGTCTTTGAGGGGGCTTCAACTTGTCACTGGGCACAGGATTACCCACCTTGCTTTCTGTAGACTTGCTCAGACCTCCCATCAGAAGACCAGCCAAAAGCATGAGATACTGCATTGCCATGCTGGGGAGCTGACAGGGAGATCTGCAAGACAGAAAAGTGTGCATGGAGAAGGTACTGGTAAGGGTGGGTGGGGCTGAGAGAGGCATAACTGGGAGGGTAGGGATCAAGGGAGGGAGGGCAGGGCTTTAATGGAAAGGGTGGGGCAATGTTTCAGGGAAGCAATGATGTAGTCAAAGCACCCTTACCTGTCCCTCCAGGATGAGAGCTACAGATATAGGCTCCTCACCGGGGGATCAGTTGTCAGAAGAGACAGGACTGTGGGGACCTCAGAGACCTGACCACTGCACACCTTAGTTTTAGGGCTCAAAACTCAGGAATCAAGACAAGTGGGCAAAGCCTTGATTGAGAGGGATGACCTTGTGCTCCTGCCAAAAACATCATGTTGTCAGGATTCTGAAAGCAAGACCACTGTACCTCTAATTTTCCAGGATGCACACACACACTTGTCCTAGTAAGGCCCCTAATCACATCTTAAGCACTACTAACAAGATTTGACAGGGGCTGGAGAGATGGCTCAGTGGTTAAGAACATTCGCTGTTCTTTCAAAGGTACTGAGTTCAATTCCCAGCAACCACATGGTGGCTCATAACCATCTATAGTAAGATCTAGTGTGCAGGCAGAATGTTGTATAAATAATAAATAAATCTTAAAAAAAAAAAAAAAAAGATTTGGTTTCCTTGTGGGTAGCTAGAAGGTAGGAGTGGACATGGGTTCACTGGGAATTCTCAGTGATACAGTGTTTATGAACTTGGGAAAACAAGAGCATGTAAAACCATGGTCCACAGTAATACCCAAGCTTATAAATGTATAGTAACAATCACGGTGGCACACACCTTTAATCCAAGCATTTAGGAGAAAGAGGCAGTTGAATCTCTGGGTTCCAGGGCAGACTCAGTCTAGTCTACAGAGTGAGTTAGTTCTAGGCCATCTAGAGCTACACAGAAAAACCTTGTCTTGAAAACAAAACAAAAAAAATATTTTTTAACATACATGGTGTTTGTCCTCATATATGTCTGTGTACCATGAGCATGCCTGGCACCTGCAGAGACCAGAAAAGAATCAGATCTACTGGAACTAGAGTTATAGACTGTAACAATTACAGAAGCAAGCTGCCATGTGAATAGAACATGGTCCTCTCAAAGAGCAGCCAATGCTCTTAACTGCTGAGCCATCTCTCCATCTCGCTCATGTTGTGATTTATACATGGCTAGGGACAAAACCCAAGGCTTTGTGAATCCTAGGTAAACACATGAACTATGTCCACATCCCTTTTAATTTTTTTCAAAGATTATTTTATTTTACATGAATGTTTTAACTATATCACATGTGTGCTTGCTTGGTGCCTACAGAGGCTAGAAGAGGGCATCAGATCCATGGAATTGGAGTTGTAGATAATTATGAGCTGGCATGTGGTTGCTAGAGACCCAGCTTGGGTCCTTTGCAAAAATAAGTGTTCTTAACCACTAACTAAGAACACTATAACTATAGTGTTGACTATAGAGATGACTTAGTCATCTCCCTTTTACAACAAACTTACGTTAACTCACAAGATGGTACTTAAAAATCAATCAGTCCAAGATAAGATTTGAGGAATATTTTTTACCATAAAGGTTATCTCTTAAAACACAAAAAAGTTGGCTGGCAGTGGTGGCACACACCTTTAATCCCAGCACTGGGGAGACAGAGACAGGTAGATCTCTGTGTGTTTAAGGCTATCCTGGTCTACAGAGCAAGCTCCAGGACAGCCAAGGCTACACAGAGAAAACAAACAAACAAACAACAATAAAGAATTAATTTGGTGGGGAGATCTCTGTGAGTTTAAAGACAGTTTGGTCTACCTAGTGAGTTCCAAGCCAGAGTGAAACCCTATCTCAAAGAACAAAACCAGGCGGGATGGCTGAGTGGTTAAAAACACTGGCTGCATTTCCAGGGGATCTGAGTTCAATTCTTATCACCGACATAACAGCTGTCTGTAACTCCAATTCCATGGGGGTAAGGCCTGTGAGGGCACTGCATGAATGTGGTACACAGACATGCAGGAAGGCAAAAGACCCAAACCCACAAATAAAGTTACCTCTTAAGAGACTAAGGATGTAGCTCAGTTGATAACGTACTTGTGCAGCATGAACAAAGCCTAAGTTTTATCTCCATTATAATATAACTTGGTGTGGTGGTGCACACCTGTAATCCTGTAATCCAAACACTTGGGAACTGAAGGCAAGAGGATCAAAAGTAGTATGGCTACATAGTAAATTCAAGACCAACCCAAGACACCATGAGATCCTGTCGCAAATAATAATAATAATAATAATAATAATAATAATAATAATAATAAACATGTTAAAACAACAATAATAATATGTTACCTCTATTAAGATTTTTTACTTAGCAGAGGCCATTGCAGCATTGAAGTAGCAGAGAAGCTGGGTATCTCCAGTTCTGGAACAATAGTAGTCTGAGCTTTGGTAGAAGAACTCTGAGAGAACACAGAGAAGTTTCAGTTTGAGGCTAAAAATAAGGAACTATATACTCTCTGACTTAGAGCAGTGGGAAGCCCCAGTTGAGGACCAAGGGGAAGGATATGTGGCTCCACATGATCCATGGGGGTTCAGGATGACATAGCTCCAGTTCTATCAGCAGGGGAAACAGGAATCTACTGTAATTCACTTTATACTGGTTTAAGCCAGGATGTCAGGAAAATAACCACACTGCAAGGGAAAGAGGTGGTGCACAGGCCTGCAGGAGTTACCTGGAAAGCCTTATCCACAGCCTTTCTAGCACTCGTTAATACATGCTTTTTTTCTTTGTTTCAGTAACGCATGCAGAATTTCAAAACACATTCTGTCCTTGATTTAACTCTTCCATCTAAAGTGTGAGATCTTCTTAGAAATATATTCATATCATAGTGTGGTCACTCCTCAACTATAGGATGTAATCAAATTTCAACTTTTCTGTGAATTTTCTGCTCACCAATGAACATAATTCTCTACCCTGTAAGAAAAGTCCCAGATGTTAAACAGACCCTTCTGCTCACTCTAAGAAGAGCAATCCTTAGGCCCAGGTCAAGTTAAAAAAGTCCAACATTTCAATCAACACTGTCTTATGTTACTTGCCAAATTTACTGAAGCATAATTTCCACACAATAAACCATATCCACTCAAAATATGTTAAGTCAGGGAGTTCTGGAAAACTGCGTACCTTTGAGGCCACCACTACTGCACCAAAAAAAAAAAAAAAAAGATAGCAGTATTGGAGCCTTCTATGGGTCCCTTCCTCAACCTACAGCCCCAGGAAACCAAGCTGACCTTGCCTACTGCAAAGCAATCTATAATTTCATATAATTAGAAAATATAACAAATGGTTCCTGTCATTCAGTACCAAGAATCTTTAGATGTGGTGTTATGTGTATTTTGTTCATTACTATGTCATTGTTATGTGACTGTACCTCATTTCCTTTACCTATCACCTGCTGACAGTTTCCTGAATTGATTCTACTATTTTGGAAATCATAGGTCCTTGAGCACACACTCTGTGAACTTGTATTTCTATTTCTCATTGGCAAATTTGTACTGAATCAGAGAGGAATGTTTAACTTGTCAAACATTTTTTTTATATAGTGTACCTTTTCACTTTCCTATCAGCAGAGTAGAAGGGCTCAAAGGCTTTGCAACCTCACCAATATCTGGTGGGCACATAGTGGTATCTTGTCATCAGCATTTCCCTGACCAGTAATGGTTGGCATCTTTTCGTGTCATTAGTCACATGTATATCTGTTTTGTTTTGTTGTTAGTTTTTTCAAGACAAGTTTTCTGTGTGTATCCTTGGCTGTCCTGGACTTGCTTTGTAAACCAGGCTGGCCTTGAACCCACGGAGATCTGCCTGCCCACTCCTGTGCTGGGACCATAAGAGTGCATCACCATACCTGGATCATATGTATGTCTTATTGAAGTGCCTTTTCACATCTTTTAAGTGTTTTAATTAGATTGTCTCCCAACTAGTTAGATATAGCAGTTAACACGTACTTATTCACTTAGTGTGGCTGTTTATGTGCACATAAGTATGCACACACATGCCATGAAACACATGCTACAGCATATATGTGGAGGTCAGAGAATAGTTCTTTCACCATGTGTGTTCAGAGATCAAACTCAGGTTGTCAGGCTTGGCTGTAAAACCCTTTATCCACTAAGCCATTTCACGGGTTCAATAGTTCTGTGTATAATTTGTAAAAATCTGATTATTTGTTTATGTGTATATATGCATACCTGCTATGGCATGCATGAGGTCAGAAGAGAACATGTGATTCGGTTCTTTTCTTTCACTATGTGGGTCCTGGGAACTAAACTCAGTTTTGTGCCTTAAGCTGCTGAGCCATCTCACTGATAGCCTATATATTCTTTTCTGTTATATGTGGCATTCCCACATATTTAGAAGTGTGTGTAGGCCAGAAGTCAACATTGTCTTTAATCACTTTCCACCTTATTTTGGTGTTTTGTGTGGTACCTGTATATATAGTTTCACTCTCTCATAGATACATGTGGTGCTCAGAGACGGATGGTAGGTGTCTTCCTCTATCGCTCTCCACCATTTGTTTTGTAGACAGGGTCTCTCTTTGTATGCACTGGCTGTCCTGGAGCTAGCTATGTAGATCAGCTGGCCTTAAACTCACAGAGATCCTTCTGCCTGTTTCTCAGATGCTTGAATTAAAGGCGCATCACCATGCTCAGCTTTCCATGGTATTTTTTGAGACAGGAACTTTCACTGAACCTGGACCTCATCACTTTTGCTGGATAGCCAACATGCCCCAGGAATCTGCCAGTTTCCCCTCTATCCACTCAAACTGGGATATAAAGATGCACCTCCCAACACCTGGTTTTTACATAGGGGCTGGGAATCTGAACTCAGGTTCTCAAGCTTACACATTCATTTTACCCTCTAAATCATCTACCCAATCTTTGATTGAACCTGGAGTTCACTGACTCAGCTAAGCTGACTAGTCAATGAGCTCAAACATTCACCTGCCTCCATTCCTCGTATTTATGTGGGTACAGATCTTCCTGCTTGCTCTGAAGGCACTTAAAAAAATTTATTTATTATTTACATAGCATTCTGCCTGCACACCAGATCTCACTATAGATGGTTATAAGCCACCATTTGGTTACTGGGAATCGAACTCAGAACCTTTAGAAAGAACAGCAAGTGTTCTTAACCTCTGAACCATCTCTCTAGACCCTCTGCAGGCACTTTTAACTGAACTATCTCCCCAGAACCTTTTTATTTTTTGAATTAGGATCTCATTATGAAGTTCAAGCTTGCCTGGAACGCACTTTGTCACTATGTAGACCAGGCTGCCCCTTCAACATCAACTCCTGCCTCTGTCTCCCAAGTGCTAGAGTTACAAGCATGTGCTTACAGATCACACTTAGCACTGTGTGTATATATGTGTGTGGTCTTATCTATTTTAGGCTGGCCTCAAACTCTCTATGTAGCAGATGATGACTTTCAAATGCAATTTCTTTTGAGATTGATTCTCATCATTAGGTAGTTTAAAAAGGCCTAGTAGCCTTGGAGGTCACTGAAGACAGATCTCTCCCTCATAGTTGGTTGGGCCTCCCATTTCTCTGGTAACACTAAACTGGAAAATATCCTAACTGTCCCCTCTCAGGAATCCAGGTCAAAAGAATGGAATCCATCTGGTCTTGGGTAGCGATATAACATACTGACATGTGCCAAAGAATAAAGTGTTACATACTACAGTATTCTCCCTTAAAACAAAATAGAGGCCAGGCATAGTAGCATACACCTTTAATCCCAGCACTTTGGAGGCAGAGGCAGGATGATCTCTATGAATTCAAGGCCAGTCTGGTTACACAGTGAGATCCTGCCTCAACAAATATAGATAAAAAAGTAAATAAAGTAATTTATCTGGTGGTTGAAGAACTAAAAATGTGTGCTCAGTCCTAAACAGGACATCTATTTCAACCCTATTGTCCCCAAGGCTCAGGGAAGATTGTGGGAAAGGGGAAAGAAAGAATTTAAAGGCCCAGTGCAGTGTAATCCTGTAATCCCAGCACTCCTGTAATCAGGGAGACAGAGGCAGGCAGGTCACTGTGAGTTCATGGCCAGCCTGGTCTACATAGTCCAGGACATCCAAGGCTACATAGAGAAACCTTGTCTGGAAAAACAAAAATAAACAAACAAACAAACAAAGCCAGAGGATGGAGACTAATGTATACTGCTGGGCACACATGAACTCACTGAAGCCATAGCTACTGTGCAAGATCAAGCAAACAAGAACAGTTAACATTCCAACACACAGCATTAATAGAACTCAATGGGTTACAATAAAAAAATATAGAAATAAAGAAACTATGGGGGGGGGGGTGCTTTTGATCCTAGCCTAGTCTAAAGAGTGAATTCCAGACCAGCCAGGACTACAGAGAAATTCTGTCTCAAAAAACTGGAGGGGAGGGGGAGAGGAGAGGGGAAAGGGAGGGGAAAGGAAAGGAAGAGGAAGTAAGGAAAGAGAGAGAGACAGAAAGGGGAGGAAGGGGGAACTATCTACACAATCCAGATCTGTAGTTTCTTCTACAAGCTTCTAAACTTAAAAACGGACTCATATTATTGTGTAGCTCTTAACATAATTATCAAGTGCACCTATCATCAAACTATGTGAGCTGGCATGGCCTTCTTGCAGGATTTATGGTAAAGGAGAAGCAGGGGCTGCACAGTCAGAGCCCAAAATATGAGATGGTCCAGATTCAACCCCTCCCCCCGACTCTTATCCCCCTCACCCCGACCCCACACACACCAACAACAAATTAAAAAATGTAAAAAAAAAAAACAAAAACAAAAACCAACCATACAAAAAACACACAGAGATAAAAAGACCTTAGTTCTGCCTTCTCTATACACTATAAAAATACTAAGAAAACCCAACAAAATTATGAGCCAATAGAATCAGGATGTTAGCAAGTTTAAGGCTGGCAGGGCTACATGGCCAGACCCTGTCTCAAAACAACAAAAACAAAACCCTAGGCCAACTTCGATACCTTTAAATTTAATAGGCCGACTGAGAAGAGAATTCAGTAAGAACAGAGTTGTGGGAAGAAATTGCAAAGGCCAAAAGCCGAAATACGGTAGGAAATGTTACACGCTGATAAAGCGATTCGCACAGCAAAGTCCTCAAGACCATATGCTGTGGCCGAACCTCGACCACTTCATGATACCAACAGACCAACGGAAGTCCAGCAGCTCCCACGTCCTGCTCTGCTCCAACGCACCTCAGCTGGCAGTCCATTTTTCCCTTTCAAACTCCCCTCCCTCCATCTGTCCATTCGCGCAACCACCATGCTCCGCTCCCGGCTCCAACCGTACCGCCACATCGCTGACAAAATGACAGCCAGACAAGGCGGGCAATGCCCCGCTAGGCATTAGGCCGGTCCTGGAGTCTACTTGGAGCCTTACAGCTTAGCTGCAGAAGCCACCTCCGTCAACGCAGGGCCCTCACCACACACCAGGCGGGTTCCTCTTTCGTACCGGCCGCCTAGCGAACGCCCTGCGAGCGCCCCCTGGGACTTGTAGTCTCTGGTCCAGCCCCGCTCGTGTCGGCGGGTGCTGCTTTGAACAAAAAAACTACAACTCCTAACGACCCCCTCACCCAAGTGCGTTTGTCCGGGATTCGCTCCGTGAAGCTCGTTTGTACTCGGCGCACTGCTTGGGAAATGTAGTCCAAAATGACTTGAACCTAGGGAGGGGAAGGGAAAAGGAGGAAGTGAAAAGACTACATTCTCCAATATTCCTAGCGGCGACCATTCATCTTAGTCTTTGTTAGGAGGCCGGCCACAGTCGGTCTCTTGGAAGGTCGCCAGTAGAGCAACTTGAAGGAGCTCAGATCTGCCAATCAAGGCCACGGTGACCTTTGAGATTATTTAACTGGCCCTAGTTTGTGATTGAGATGGGGCAGATACATTTCAAACTCACTCAAAACGTATGGTTTAATTGGCTGACCCCATTTCAAAGTGAACACTTAAAAGTTCAAACTAAGCCTTTTATAAAAATCTGGGCTTTCTAATTTTTCTGTGGTGTCTCTGAAGTGGTGCTGAACCACTAGGCAGTACCTGGAGAGGGCATGAGAGTATATACCACAGTTGCTTTTGAATAAAGTTTAGAGAGCGTCAGGGTTTGTTTTGTATCGGGACTGGTTATTCACCCCGGCCTCCAGTGCATTGTCACTGCCAAGCGCCAGCTCTCCACTCTTCCTAGAAACTGACATGACCTCACTTCCCAGATACTGACATCACCTCAGTTTCTCTGATCTGGTAGAGCAGGTCAGACAACTCAGCATTCTTTGGGCCACCACGATTTACTTTTCCTTGAAACTCCTCTAAGGTTCAGCGGCTCTAAGAATTCAGAGTTAGAGGTGCGGGCCTTTTTAGCCAGCTGCAGTGACTACAGTGGCACAGGGTGATGGGACCGTGGTAAAATGGGCTCAAGTCTTTCTAAATAAAAAGCATTAAGATAGGTAGAATTTCTGCTTGTGGTGTTTTGGACTTCCTCTGGGCTACCTCAGAACCTCTAGTATTTCTGGCAAATATTTGGAGAGGGAGTTATGTGTGTATGCGCCCCAGAGACTTGGCATCCGTTGAGCAATGGCTAAGCAGTGGGGATGAGGGAGAAGAAACATACTAATGCACCTACTCCCACAGCTCCCCCATTCCTTCACCCTGGGATGATTTGATTGGCTAGCTCCTTCAAGGAGAACACTCAGAAAGCTAAAGCTTCATAGCCGGAAGTGGAGGCACACACCTTTAATCCCAGCAGTCAGGGAGGCAGAGATAGGTAGATGAATGAGTTTTGAGGCCAGCCTGGTCTATAAAGCCAGGCCAGGTCAGCCAGGGCTACACAGAGAAACCCTGTCTCGGAAAAAAAATAAAAATAAAAATAAAACAGAAAACAAATAAACAAAACCCCCCCAAAGCTTAAGGTTTTTGTAAAATCTAGGCTTTCTACAATATCCTGAGTGTCTGCTTGGAGATTTGAACTCTCAGTGGCTCAATTTTCCCAGCTGACCACTATTGGCCATCCAGAGTGAGTCCTATGATTGACTTATAGATGCGCAGTATTTTTGTCCCAGTTTTAATTATCAGAAGTTTTCTATGAAAATAGATCTCTGGTCTTAGAAAAGGAGATAGACCTTTTGCAGAACTGCTCCATGACCTGCTGCCAGGGCCCTCCCCAAACTGTGGACAGTGTTGGGTTGATTGCACTATTTTGCCTCATCAAGATTTTCTCAAGTAACTAAAAACTAAACTACATCATTTTCTTCAAGCTCCTCCAACACAAGAACATGTCTTAGGCCTTCTAGATTTGGTAGCTAAAGACCAATGCTGCCTGTGTAGCAACTAAAGAGTTAATGCTATCCTGTGTAACAGCCAAAGATCCACTATATCTGCCCCCATCAAAACTACCAAGACCACACAAGCCTAGGGCAACTGTCCAGTAGGTAAGTAGCCAGTAAGTCTCTTGTCATTTTAACTGATACAGAGGTCATTTGGATTATACTTCCTGCTATAATTTCCCCTTCTTAGATCTCTGAAGGTATTGATAATTAACTGTGGCAGCAGCTGTCAGTTTTGTAATAGCAGGCACCTCACTCCTCCCCTCAAGCTGCAGCTGCCTGGTCAGTTCATTTCATACCTAAAATCAGGCCTCACTTTTCTAGAGCTACTAGGTCTCCTGCTGAGAACCACAGACACAGTTTATCTTGCTGGCAGACTACACACTAAAAGATACACTCACAAATCAGGTTTCAATGTAACTTTTTACTATTCCTTTAGGAACTTTGCTTTGCAGTGAATCTTCTCAGTAATTAACCATCTGTGTCCCATGGTAAATGATTGAATGAAAAGAAAAGGTTTGAAGTTTATGCTAATTGTGAAGGTCTAAGAAAGTAATTTAAAATATGTAAATAAAAACAATAAAGGTCTGAGGAGCTGAAAGAGTAGGTAAATTGCAAGGGTCTAAAACGATGATGTAAGGTATGCAAAAGTAAGCTGTAAAGATCTAAGAAACTGATTTAAGGTACGTGAAAAAAAAATCCAGATTTTTTTTTCTTCTCTATGTGTTATAGCTGACAATTAATATTTACTATTGATATATCTTCTGGTAAAGCTGCTGTTAATCCTAAACAGCTGTATAACCAGATTACCACACAGAGACTATGATTTATTTTATTAACCTAGAACACAATGCTGGGCAATAGTTACTCTATCCTAAACCTCCAAGCCCTCATATTTTCCTAACATTTAGATTTACCACATTATACTTGCTTTTAGTGATATATTAGGTCCAGTCCATCTCTCCATGTCTTTCCAAGATCTCTCTCCCTGCCTCCTTTCTCCCAGCTCTGCCTGCCCTTTCTCCTCCCACTCATTTCCTGCCCTCTGGCTCCTTCCCTCTTTCCTGTCCTGTGGCTCCCTCCCATTGTTCAACATTGTAGCTAGTTGCTTTATTTTGGCCTGCTTACACAAAGTTGAGACAGGATGCTTAGAATAAGTATCACAATGCAATATCCCGATTGAAACCAGAGAGTTGGGGGGAGAAATCAGCATTTGAATAAACAAGGGTAAGGTGTATACATTTTAAAAGAACATTATACCAACATCTACGTTATTGTTATATTAAGACTTCAAAAGTTCACAGTTTTAACATTAATTAGTGAAGTTCTGATAAGCTATTAATCTAACTCTGGTAAAACACTGACTACTCCAATCATAGTCACAAGCTCAAGATTTTAAATGTCCTTGGCTATCTTCTAAATTAAAATTGCTTCTCATCCCTGGGTTGAGGTGGTACACACCTTTAATCCCAGAACTTGGGAGGCAGAGGTAGGCAGATCTCTGACTTTGAGGCCAGCCTGGTCTGTAGAATGAGTTCCAGGACAGCCAAGGTGGCACAGAGAAACCCTGTCTCAAAGACAAAACAAAACAAAAAACAAAAATTGTAAGCAACTCAATTAAATACTTTCTTTTATGTTTCCTCATTGTGTCTCTTTACAGCAATAGAAAAATAATAAGACATGTATTATCACAGATTTAGCATGCTCCGCCACAATTCTACCAAAAGGGCATAGGCATACCCTGTCCAAAAGAGATGTGCACCCAGTGTATTTAGTATGTATCCTATGGCAGGATGGGGATGGGGACACATATATATAACACTGGAGTCATCTCTGATGGCATAAGTCTTGGTTCCCACACAGGAGAAGGCAAGCATCAAAACTGATAGGGATAAGTTAGTTTTAGTCAAACTAATGGTAAATCAGTCTCAGTGGTCTGGATAAGGAGTAAGAATGCTATTAGAACCTGGTTAAAGTAAGTTAGATTTGTGTGTATGTTTTAGTGCATTTTGGGCAGGATTAGCACCACGGTATTAGTCTAAAATGAGAAGGGAGAAACAGAAACACAACTACATATAGAGGAGTGAATACAATGAAGGTATTAGAGAAAGTCAAGAGTACATGTGTATGTTGGTATTCATACAGCCATGTTGAGGACACCCAAGCCCTTAGAACCATGGAACAATTGATAAGGCCATTATCTATATGGGACAGGCTCAAAAGAAATAACAAAACCTTTCTTGGGAGTCATATGAGTGTTTATGGGTGATTGATTGATCAGTGGATGCAAAGATTAGCAACTGCAGCTTCTTCCTCAGGAATGTTTGCAGCCTGAAACTACTCGCATATAGAGACCTACTGAGACAATTAAGCCCTCCCTCTGTGCTGAACCAAGTAAACGTGCTGAGGTTCCAGGCTGTGGTGGCACTAGATAACCACCTGGTCCCAACTTCACTATATGTGTGTCTGTCCTGCTCTTCAAATCCTCCCTGCCCTTAGACAAGGTACCAGGACTCAGGCACCCAGGACTTGGTAAATCAATACCAAAGCAAACAAAAGCAGGCTGGAGACAGCACTGGGAGGAAAGCTCAGAGAGACACATCACAGGACACCTATCTTTTTAGTACCAGTTTTAGAGACTGGCCATCTGCTTTCTCTGTTTTTCAACAGGTTTAAACAGCTTCTCTAGGGGATCATTTGTCAGCGAATGCTCTCTTGTCTTAAGCTTACTGTGTTCAGCCTGACTCAGCAATATACAGAGTTGTCTTTGTGATGTCTTGGTGCTTAGCAGAATTGAGTTTCTCTTCTCTGCAGGTGGCATCAGCTTGTCTAACATTTAGCAATGCTATCCTTTTTGTCTCCTATTTCCATGATCCCACTAGGTATCCAGGAAGGTGAAAATCAAAAGGAAGATAATTTGGAAAAGAGGATCAGGACATGTGACTAAATGCTTGTGGTACCAGAAATCCTCAGGGTGTGGCAATCCCCTGAAGGTTCACTGGTATTGGAAAGTTTTATGAGTGCTGCTATTTTGGCTTATGTCATGTAGCACATTAATTTGTAGTGCAAGAAGGTGGTGAAGTCACATGGTTGTTGACATTTTTGTTTGTTTGTTTGTTTGTTTGTTTGTTTTGAGACAGGGTTTCTCTGTGTAGCCTTGGCTGTCCTGGAACTCACTTTGTAGACCAGGCTCTCAAACTCAGAGATCTGCCTGATTCTGCCTCCCAAGTGCTGGTATTAAAGGTG